GTGAAAGACTAATACCACTTTAAGAACATGACATAATTTTTTTACAAAATAGAAAAGCTTGCAGATTCATTTAAATTTATTTCACTTTTGATTGAGAAGATACTAAGGACATTTTTGTTTCCAAATGGACGTGGAAACAATTGAGAATTGCGAGATTGATAGTGACAAATACACAAATATTTTAGATTTAATTAGTAAAATAGACAAAAACAAATATATCGCTAGTACCAGATAATGTAATGCCTCTGAATAAAGTCTTAAATTAGCTAACTCACTATTCATTAATATTTACTAGCTGCTTTTTATAAATGGTCGTGATGTCAGAGCCAAGATCACTAGCATAATTTTTGCAAGCAAATGACTCTGTAATCATGATCTTCATACTACTTAATATAATAGTAATTCACAAATAGGTATAAAATCAAGCATAGATATGGACTGTAGAGAGTTCCTCTTCAGGACTCTGAGAAGTAGAAAGGAGTTTAATTACCCAGATGTTCACAAATACTATTTTTTAAGATTTCTATTTTCTCTGTATTCTTCTGATTTTACATCATTTTATTTGGTTCTGTAACTGAGAGTGGCATAAGACTGTAATTACAGTTCCATATTTCTGTAGTTTTCATCCAAAAAAGAAATACATTCTTGAAATGTGTGAACTTATTTCTATATTTATCAAGTGGTAGAATAAAATGTAGTATAGTTGATGTTGTAGGATAATTTATGGATAAAGCATCTGACAGTAGCTTTATATTCCTATCACTAAAAAAGGACAGTAGAGGTTGGATGTCTTTAAGAATGGCAATAGAGACAAACCAGGAAAAATTCAACTACCTCTCTTGGGACTAAGATGTTAAACTTAAAAACTAAAAAATAGTTAAATGTTGGTAATGATCAGTAAGCAAAGACAAATTGTCATGTATCCTAGGATCTCTGCTTTCCCTGTCTGGAGAGCATAAAAGTGTAGGGAAAGCTTGAGTAAAGTGTTATACATATGTTTAAAAATTTTTAATGTTACCATAGAAAACAATTACATTTTGACACAAAAGGTCCTCTGGTGCTGGTGTATTGTTAAGAAATTGTGATGTTGATCTCAATATGGAATTTCTTAAGCGCTAACAGGGCTGTCATCCTTTGTGTGTGTCTCAATATAGAGCTAATTAAAATCTTATATAATTTCCAAGTATGCTTATCTATAGGATCATTACCAATGATGAAAAAAATTCCTGTTTCTTAAAGTTTATTGTATTTCTACAGTTGTCTTTTTGCCATCATTTGAAGATGTACCTATGAAAAATCAGAGTTAAGGGCTGGGGATTGAGCTCAGTGGCACTGTGCCTGACTAGCAAGCACAAGGTCCTGAATTCAATCCCTGAAACTGAGGGAAGGGGAAGAAGGACTAAAAAGCCACAATGGGAAA